CCAGCCTCAATGGAAATAGTTGAGACAGCATCTTACTCTGTAACCAAGACTAGCCTCAAGCTTCTAATGGTCCTCTTGCCTCACCCTCCCAAATGCTGGGATTATAGCATGAGCCATCATGCACAGCTCAAGAGCAAATTATTTTCTAAAGAATGTTAATTCTAAATTAATTTATTTCTAAATTTATACATATGTGTGAGCCTCAGTGAGTTTATGTGTACCACATGCTTACAGGAACCCTTAGAGGCCAATAGAACCCTTAGAGGCCAATAGAGGGCCTTAGATTTCCTGAAACTACAGTTATAGGCAGTCATGAGCCATGCTGGTGCTGGAAACCAAACCCAGGTGCTGTGGGATAATGCTTTTGTACACTGGTTTAATAAAGTGCTGATTAGTCAGTAGCTAGGAAGGAAGTATAGACAGGGCAAGCAGACTAAAGGAAGGCTTGGAAAAAGAAGAAGGGAGTCAGGAGTTATCAGCCAGATGCAGAGGAAGCAAGATAAGAATGTCTAACTGAGAAAAGGTACCAAGCCACGTGGCTAAATATAGGTAAGAACTATGGGTTAATTTGAGTGTAGGAGCTGGTCAGTAATAAGCCTGAGCTAATAGCCAAGCAGTTATAATTAATATAAGCTTCTGAGTGATTATTTTATAAGTGGGTCATAAGGGGGCTTGGCAGGACTGGAGAAACCTTCTGACTACACCCAGGTCCTCTGCAAGAGCAGTTAGCACTCTTAACCACTGAGCCAGCTTTCCAGCCCTGGGTATCTTTGCATACAGAAACCTCTAGTGCCTCTATCGGGTGTGGTCTTTTTCAGTACTAGTATTTGGTTAATTCTAATGAACCCACCATGAATGTTTTTGCCAGTGGAAACTAATTAGTTTATTTGGATAAAAAGTCAAACTGGAATCCTTGGGTCTCCTTTGAAAGAGCAGAGAGAACAAAAGTGCCTCTGAGGGAGGGTACTGCAACAGCAATTCAGAACTCAGCAGGTTAGACCCAGTTAGTGCTCTTCCTCCTTCCTCTGGGCTGTCTTGCTCATGGGGTTTGGACGTGGAGTTTCTTTTGAGTGTTTAAAAGACTGCCTTACCAGCCTCAGACCTGGAGTCTTCCCCTTTTTTTTGTAATTGTATTAAATAATGAGTCATTTGCTGGAGGCTGTGTCAAATTTGAATATTTCCAAGTGTCAAGACTCAGTGTGTGCTAGGCACACAGCTCAGTGACAGGGCACTGGTCTAGAATGGGTATGATCCTGGCTTCTATTCCCAGGATTACAGACAACCACAACAAAAAGACTTGTCTCACATAGGATAGGAAAGTCAAGGAGGCGAGCAGTCACTGAGGAAACCTGAATTAGCCTGGGGAAGTGATATCAGTGTTTTGTTTTTTTTTTTTTTTTAGTTAACTAAAGTCACACACAGAAACCTGGCATAAAGCTTGTCTAACATATACAGAGCCCTGGGTTCAAGTCTCAGTATCAAAAAAAAAAAAAAAAAGGAAAGGAAGGAAGGGAGGGAGGGAGGGAGGGAGGGAGGGAGGAAGGAAGGAAGGAAGGAGAGAAGGAATGTCTGAATCAAGGGAGTATTTCAGACAATTTCTGGAAAGTCAGTTATAAAGGCCTTTAATACTGTAAAGCCAGGCATAGAGGCAAATGCCTGTAATCACAGAAGTTGGGAGGCAGAGATAGAGAATCATCACAAATTCAAGACCAGTCTGGACTACACAGCAAGTCTATAATTTTAAAAAAAAAAATGACTCTAAGAGAAATATCAAGACTGGGAGTTAATTGAAGCGCTCCAGGGGTCTTAAGGGTTCTCACCTGCAGAAGGCTGGAGACGAGCTCACTTGAGTGGCCTGTGGCATTTCACCTGGCTGTCCCTCGGGAGGAGCAGTTCGGAGTTTGACATGAGAAGTGAGAATCCTGAGGTTTGCCCAGATGTTTGCACAGGAGGTAGTTAACAGTACCCACAGGAGCTTCTAAACATGGGCCTCTACTCGTAGAAAGTCACATGGTCCTTTTGAGGCAGATGCTACAGGGGTCCTTTGGTCTTCTTTTTCGTTTTGTTTTGTTTTGAGAGAGAGTTTCTCTGTGTAGACCTGGCTGTCCTGGAACTCACTCTGTAGACCGGGATCACTTTGAACTCACAGAGATCCACCTGCCTCTGCCTCCGGAGTGCAGGGATTAAAGGTGTGCGCCACCACTGCCCAGCTGGTTCTTACCTTCTTGAAGGAATGAATTCAGTCAAGAGATAGTAGATAATTTAATTAAGTTTATTTAGCAAAGAAGTGGTTTATTTAGGAAAGCTGAACTGAACACTCCAAAGAGATTGGCGTGGACTGTTCAAGGTGGAGAGCAAAAAGTTTCATGAATATTCATGAGGTAAGCTCCTTATGGCCCACTTTGTCTTGCAGTTTCCTCAACATCAGGGCTAAACTTAAACGTCTAGAGAGAGGGCCTCTGACCCCACAGGTAGAAATCTTAGCAGTGGCATTTAAGGTGTACCATGGAAGAGATGAGAAAGCCTGTAAACAGAACTGTCAAATGCTGGTACACACTGTCCAACCAGCCTCCTGAAGGCCTCCAGGTCCCTGTTTGAAGTGTGGTAGAGAAGGCCACTGGGTTCATGCCTGCCCTGCCCCATGTGGGCCACCATCTGGACCTTGTCCAAAGTGCTACCAAGAGGGACACTGGTCAGCTGACTGCCCCCATGCACCTTGTGGCATGGGGCCATCAAAGGAAGACCACCCTCCAGGCGATCTCCTAAGCTTGGTGATGGACAATTGAAGGTGCCATCTCTTACAGGGACCCCAGGGTAGCCATTACAGTATTGGAGTGATCCATGTCCTTCCTTTTGGACACTGGAGCTACTTATTCAATCCTGAGGGAGTTTTGGGGTCCCACCTCTCCTTGTTTCCCTATTGTCAGAGCAGGGAGACAGCCTTACCTACCTGACCAGATCCAACCACTTAATCGTATTTTCAGGGGTATCCCTCTCACCCACACATTTTTAGTTGTGCCAACCTACCCTGTGCCCCAATGGGAAGAGATTTTCTAGCTAAGGTAGGAGCTTTTATTTTGTTTGCTCCCCCCATGTGCCTGACTCCAGACTCATCAACAGCCTCTCTTCTTCTCTTCCTAGTCACCCAGCCTACTAGCTCTAACATTCATTTCCCTTGGCAGCCTCTCAGGCCGACCCCAAAGTCTGGAGCACCCAGAATCCTTCTATTGCTAGGCACCATCCCTCTATTATTATCCAGTTGCAGGACTCTACTGGTACATGACCCAAGCTCAGTACCCTCTCTCACTCCAGAGCCTTAGAGGAGTTAAGCCTATCATTTCTGACCTACTCAGAAAAAAAGCATGCTCCAGACTTCTATCTCTCTTGCTAACACTAACCAATAAAATTCTGATAGCAGAATACTAAACATAATATCAAGGCTACTACTTCAAGATTTTAAATTACCCGTGGCTGCTTCTTAATATGTTTAAAAAATCGGGCGGTGGTGGTGCACGCCTTTAATCCCAGCACTTGGGAGGCAGAGCCAGGCGGATCTCTGTGAGTTCGAGGCCAGCCTGGGCTACCAAGTGA